TCACCATACAACTGAATGTCTTCAAAACATCTAGAAAACACATCTGTACGTTTCTAACTCTCAATATAACTCATGTTATCCTAGTTCATGGGAAAGATGATTTCAATTGATTTTCTGGTGGTAGACAATGACTACTGCAGTATTTCAAAGCTATGTTTGCTAGTCTTCAAACCTTTAGCTCATTCAAATTGGCGGCAATTTACACAGAATTTGCCTCCAAAGTCCAGGAATCAAAATTTCCTGAGGCTCTGCACAACATCAATGTAACCCAACATTATGGGCGAATCCTAAGTCTTCTCAATTCTCAACCAGACTCCATCAAGGACAAACCTTCAGACATCCACAATTACCTCAAAGAACTGCCAACTTTCAAAGGTTCATGAACTGAGTCAAACCCAAAGGCAAATGTGAAAAATGTTTTGAGTAACTGTGTATCTAACATTTAAAATATCTGAGTGATTTATTGTCTCTGGTTACTGGAAAAACCCTTTGCCAATCATGCATTTTTTAAAAAAATAATCTTGGAACAAATGCACCAACTTGAAACTCATGTAATAATTACCTTTCCAATGTTAAGCCTAGTTTATAACAACTTGGTAACAGTATATATTTTATATATATATATATATATAAATATATAATAATCCTTGCATTTGAAATTGTGCCTTCTCACGTCTGAGACGTCTCAAAGCGCTTCACAGAATATACTGTAAAGTGAATTAACTGTATATTTTGTGGGTGAAACAGAAAATTGCACACAGCAGTGTCTCACAAACAGTTGTGGATTGAGTGACCAATTTATTTTTTTGAAGGAAATATTACCCCCGGAAAAGCGATCTGTCAATCGACTAACAACCAAGTTCCTACTTACTGCTAGGTAAACAGAGGCGTGTGAAGGAAGGAAACTTGCCCAACATTTTGCCCTGCCGGGAATCAAATCCATAGCTCTCGCTTGTGAATATTGCATTAGTTGATGCATTGCATAGCAACAATTGACATAAATTTTTAAAATGAGCCTAGAATATGAGACATCATCGTTGTTTGATTTACTGATTTAAAAAAANTACACAAGTTTTATGCACCGAAGAAATTGGATTTAGAGATCAAGCTGAACAGAATGTAAAGCCAATCTCAGAGCATCAACTTTTGATGTGAAATTTACATTTTCAAATTCAAATTCTAAAAAGTCAGCCAAATTCTTACATAGAACAAAACACATTGTGATACTGGATTCTTTCCCTAGAGAATATAACCACAAGCAGCATAAAAAAAATGAGAACCTGTAGCAAGCTTGGTACAATGGAACCCGATTCATTAGGCCAAATTTGGAAGACGTTTACAGTATAACCATGATTTTCCAGAAGTAAGCTTCCTATCTCAAATGCCTTTTAAGAGGGAATCATCAAACACTTACTGCCGCAATGAGATCCTACATTGAATATCCCTCATTAATGAACTGAAATTCTATCTGTCCCAGGAATGTTGATGGTAAGTTGTGAAAAGTGCTCACCAAGGCCAAATTCTGGCCTTACCACCATCTCTAGCCTTCATAAGTCACCAAGTCCATAAACTGGATTCTTTACTCCGCCTTCCCCCTCTCTCAGCCCAACCCCATTTGTACTTTGCTTAATTTTAACAGTGCCACTCACAATCTCACACAATTTTTATTTATCTTAGCAACAAGTGGATACATTCCCCAACATAGTCCATAATATATGTATTATATATATATATATAAATTGACTAAGCAACACACACCTCTCCATCCATTAAATCACTCAAGGTTCCAATGCCAATAACAAGAGGACACGATTAAAATACAAAATGAAAACTGGAGATTCAAAAGCAAAAAGGTCTTTACTTCCAGTAATACTTTTGCTAAATCAACTCTCCATCCATTTAAACAATAGCACAAATCAGTACTTGTGTGGAGTCAGTGAAAATGACTACACACACAGATATGTAATGTACCTCAGGTCAAAAGCCTTTACCACCTATGCAGTTCTGTAGCTTAGTGGTTGGAGCATCCATCTCGCACGCGAGAGGACCTGGGTTCGATTCCCGGGAAGGGTGAACCTTTGGGCAAGTTTCCTTACTCCACATGCCTCTGTTTACCAGCAGTAAATAGGAACACAATTGTTAAGGCAATTGGCGGATTGCTTTTCCGGGGGTAATAATCCCTTTTAAAAAAATGTGGTCACTCAATCTACGACTGTTTATGGGACACTGCTGTGCGCAATTGACTGCCACATTTCACCCACAAAATGTACGTTTATAGTATATTCCGTGAAGCACTTTGAGACGGCTCAAAGATATGTTAAGGTACTGTATCAAAATACAAGGATTATTATTATAGATTAAAATGATTCCAAATAGATAGCATGGAAGTCATAAAAAGTATACATTTATATCTAGTTTTGGAGGGAATACTGCAAAACGTTCTTCGTAGAAAGTTAAATGGAACAGAGATGTGAAATCTGAGCTGAATCATTTGTAAATATTTTGCTAAAAGAATCTAGATAAATGATAGAAACATGACTTGCTACATAAAAGAAACAACAAATCTTGTAAAAAAATCAATAATCTTTGAATCATTTTGACTTCTGAGACTTTCAAGAAAAAAAGGATAGTTTGAACTGGCTGCTACATATTAATGATGAGTGTGCCTCATTTTTCTATACTCAATATTCTGTGAAACTGGTTATTCCCTTCAACAGACTTCACATTCGGAATGAGCGCCAAGTACACATAAAAATTCAACCAAGTTAATATACAGTCTTTACTACTATTTTGATGAAATGAATGCTCTGTACCAGCTCAAACAGTTGAGAGTTTATTAGGATACAGGACCTAATAGAAAAAAGAAACCTAAACTGTATAGAATCGCTGCACATTCTCCCATGTTTCAAAACCCAAAATGCAAATATGCCCTCTTATCACAGAAGTTTAATGCATACAGACTAGGAAAGTCCCATATCAATCATTGTTCTATGTTGGTTAAATAATCTCAGCTAAATTAAGGAAGAGGATGGTACAATTGGTCTCAGGTTCCCAGGTATGGCCGGGGAAGAGGGAGGAAGAAGAAATTCTTATTTTCACCACTCTTTGGTATCCAGTACATTGTTCCTGCAATGATTTTTGGCCAGGACACCGAGAGAAATTCCCTTTTCTTTGTGAATGGGATCTTTATCATCCATTTGAACTGGCAGATGTGACGAGTCCTCTGAAAGACGGCACCATATGAAAATGCAATACTCCCCCAGCACTGCATTGGAATCTCAGTTTAGACTGTGAGTTCAAGTCCCAATGTGGGATTTGAATCTACAACCTTCTGACTTCAAGGTGAGACTGAGACAAGCTAACATTCCACCTATACATGGAAATTACTAAGAGATTTATTAGAAATGGAATGCAATTTCTCCCTTGGAGGGATGCATTCTGCTGCCCTAGTTTCAGAGAGTATTGGACGCAGTTTGGCAAGAGTCAAGACTTGGGAGATTAGCTGGTTAAACTCTAGCAGTACCCCGGTCGGTGCAAGGGTACTCCTAGAGACTAACCAGCTAAAAATGCAAAGATTACCTTAAAGGCAGGGTGATCCCAGGTGGATTGTTAGGATTTTGACTTGCAGGGTTAATAGCAGCTAAGTAGGAAGTATCCCTGCTCCCGGTGACTGGTCTGGCCTTCCAAGTCCTGCCGATCAACCAGGCTGGCTGGACTATCATCCCTACCTGAACTACTTGGTTGGCTCAATTCCAAAATTCCTTTGCCAAAGGTGTCACCTTGGAGCCAAGCACAAATCCACTGAACTCAAATCTGTGCTTGTCAGATGTCAAAAGTCCACAACAAAGATTTTGTGATATAATGTGGATGCTTAACAGTAAATTAAAGCTTCCGAAAATAAACTGTAAATCTATGGAAAGTTTAAATAGACAGTGCAGCTGAACAATTAAATGGTAATTCACAGGTGTCACCTCCCAATCCACTGTGTTCCACTCAGACAGGAAGTCTTCACAGAACCACTTGAACACCAGTTAACAGCATTGACTATGATCTGGATGCAAACCTCCTTGGTTCCTTCAGCCACAGGAGATACAAGATCTAAACTGTCTCAAGTGACACCGGGACATGAACAATTCCTGCATTCCTACTTTACCATGACAGCTACTTAGGGCTTCACTTTGTAAATTGTACAAATGTTTGCTCAGTACATACTAATCTCCTCTTATTTTGTACTTTTCCAGGTTAAGAACCACAAAGCAAGAATACAAAAGGGAAATTTAGTTTACTCCATAATCCAAGTTTAGTGTTAGGATCAATATGGCCATTCTTTTGTATCTTTTTTATGACTGCATTTCCATACAAGTGCTCTTCAACATTTCTACTGCAGTGCTGAATTTTGACTGCATTATTTTGACTAGGATCTGAACAGAGCATCACACAAGTGAGCTATATTAGTGGGGGAAAAAAAATGAGAATTTGTACTTCAACAAGTTAATCAGTTCTGAAAAGACTGATCAATGTACATGAATGTTAATATATTACTCATTGCAAGGCAAGTCTCAATCAGAAAGGAATCGTCATTTTTTTACTCAATATTTTTCTGTCTATTAACAAATCCTAATAATCTGGCTTTAAGCACTAAAACCGCAATGGCTAATATACAATCATAAGAGCATTGAGCCATAGCATCACTCATTTAATATGTGGACAATGAATTTCAAGACAAGTTAGAATAAGACCAACAAAAAAATCTGGTCTTTTCTGTCATTGACAGAATAATGTTAAAAAGGTTTATACAGCATTTAAGAATGATTTTCAAACAAAAGTACAGTATAAAACGGCACTTGACATTCATGGGAAAATTTTAGGTTATGCTATTTCCATTAATGGCAATTTTCAATAGTGTGTTCAGCTGCACAATACAACGGCTCACATGTGCCTCACCCAATGACTAAAACATTTCAAGTTTCTTGCTATAATATTAGCACGGAACTAGTTACCTGTACTCCCGGCCTTCATCAAACCTTCTGTTTGGGCCACTACGTTGTGGTGCTGTTTCCATCAGCAATTTCTGAGTGAGCCTATTTGCAGTGGCCAAATCTCTCCCTTTTTGTTCATCTGTATCTTGGTCACACTTCCATTCCTCATCCTCGTTTAAAGTCGGTAAATATCCCAATAATGTCTTCCCTGTGCCAGACCCTGAGCTCTGATCGCTGTACAATTTTGGACTTTCTCCACCTGTCCTCGTATATTCCAAATAAATATCAGACTTCAGAAATACAGGATATGTGTTTTCTTCCATCATTCTCTGAATTTCAGTTTGGGCCTGGTCAAACATAGCAGGATCTATCTGCTGCTTCATAACACAATCCTTAATGAAGCTCTTAGTCGCTGGTTTAATTTGCCTGGACACTATGCCATTATTGTCCAGAATGTATTTCTTATATATGGCTTTTGCCAATTTAAGCCTTTTCTCTTCATTAGATTCATTAGGTTCCAGTTTTCTAAATCCACTGCACGCAAACCAAAAATCCAACAGGTCCGCACATTCCTCTTGCTTCAAGAAAGTCCTGAATAAATTGATTCCATCTTGGTCATCCAACAAGGAGTGTAAAGATTCTGCCCACCTCAGGTATGGAGGCGTTGGTGAAGCACTCCCCTCCGGTTCATAACCCAAATCCAAATCTGGCCTCCGCGGGGTTGCTGTGGAAGCCTCACTTTTAAGCCCATCATTTTTTAACGGATAGAAATTGTGGTTCAACTGCCTGTCTTTTGATGCCAGTTCACCCTCTTCACCTGGGACTGGTGGCCTTGGTGCATCTTCAGTGAAGCTTCCCCCCAGGTCCATGATGTACCCCTTTCCCCTCACACTCATTTTTGTAGAGTTCACACACAGCGCCAATTCCAGTGCAGTCCCAATAACCCAATAGTCAAGTATTCAAGCTGAGAACAAGTACTGCTGGTTTTGTATTCTTCCTGCAATAAAACAAATAGAAGTTAAGAATCATTCCAACACTATAGGAGCAGGAAATATCTCAACATAAGCAGTCTCAGCTGGAACAAACTAGAGATGAATGATATGACATTTTAAATCTACAAATATGGGATAGGAGGTCACAATGACAGAAATAGTTACTTTTAAGTATTTCTTCTAAATCCAAAACACCAACAAATATGATAAAAGACTGAAGTCCATCATACACAATATCACTTTCAACACCATTATCACACCACTGCTGTCCAACTAGAATGTAATGCATTACAGTGTTATATCACATGTGCTAATATTCCTGAAACCAAAAAGGGTGCGTCTAGGTTCACTGTCATATCAACTCTGAAAACCTGCTGAAAATACAAAAGGCATTTTTTCTTAAAGGTTTGCACATTATACATCACTTTAAGTAATTACACTTAACACTATTACTTACTGGACAAACAGACAAAATCTGATCAAATGCTAAATATTTTGCTGTAAATATGCTCTTTGTGATCCTAACAAGTTCCTTTTTTGTGTGTGTGAAGATGAAAGCAGAAATACTCATAAGTCCTTTTATGCTATGTATGTTATTTGCCATCTTGAAAATTACCAGCAGAAACACAACTATCTTTCACCCACAAAATGTACAGTCAATTCACTTTACGGTATATGCTGTGAAGTGCTTTGAGATGTCTCAAAGACATGATAAGGCACTATGTCAATTGCAAGGATTATTATTACCTTAAAATGGCAAATTTGATTCATACACTGCTCCAATCGTACATTTCTTTATAACAAAAGATGTTTTTAGATAACTCTATGTCAGTAACATAAGATGACCACACACATTGTCAACCCATTAATTTTATCCAGTTACACCAACTGAAGTTTCAACATAAATGACACAGTAACCCATTCATAAATAAAAATAGGTTAAACTTAAGTTAAGCTTAGCAGAATTTTCTCATCTATCAATTTATTTCACAACAAATTTTCCCAATATAACATTTAAAATTTAAGATGATGACTTTTTTTCTGTTTATCACATCAGGACACCCCCTTTTTTCCAAGTATGCAACAACAACAACAAAAAAGTTACATTTATTGAGCGCCTTTCACGTCGAGAGGACGTCCCAAAGTGCTGAACAGTCAGCTGTCGGGGCCCCGAGCATGGGGGAGGGGTGGTATAGGCGTGAGGGAAGGCAGAGAGGTGGGAGGGAGACCAAAGGCACGGTCGAAGAAGGGTCTGGAGACCGGCCTTGAAGGATGCGAGGGAGGAAGCGAGGCGAAGGGACCGTTGGATGGAGTTCCAGAGTGTGGGGGCAGAGAGGCTGAAAGCCCAGCCACAGATGGTAGGGCGGGTCGGGCGGGAGACATGGAGTAGGCCAAAGCCTGATGAACGGAGGGAGCTGGGAGGTTGGTAGGGAATCAGCAGGTCAGAGAGGTAGGAGGGGACAAGACCATGGATGGTCTTAAAGGTGAGAATGAGGATGTTGAACTCGATCCTCTGGGGGATGGGGAGCCAGTGGAGTCGGGCGAGGGTGGGAGTGATGGGGTAGCGGAGCCTGGTGCGCGAGTGTACATGAGCTGCAGAGTTTTTGATGATCTGCAGCTTGCGATGGGAAGCGTTCGGAAGGCCGATGAGGAAGGAGTTTCAGCAGTGGGTGAGGGTTTCAGCAGCCTGAGGGGTGAGGCAGTGGCAGAATCCGGCAATGTTGCGGAGGTGGTGGTAGGCAGTGCCGGTCATGGCGTGGATGTGGATAATGCAATAACATTAAGTCCAATGCTATGCTCCTTATACACTGCAACACACAACCTTAACACATTTAAGAAAGATACTTAAAAGGACTCCTTGAATCATATAATGTATAAGTATGCCATGCACAATAGAATCATATAATGTACAGGTGCATAATAATAATAATCCTTGCATTTGATATAGCGCTTTTTCACATCTTCTGGACGTCTCAAAGAGCTTTACAGAATATACTGTAAAGTGAATTGACTGTATATTTGTGGGCAAACACGGCAGCCAATTACGCACAGCAGTGTCCCACAAACAGCCGTGGATTGAAATGGCCAATTTTTTTTTAGGGATTATTATCAGGCGTGTGGAGTAAGAAAACTTGCCCACGGTTTCGCCCTGCCGGGAATCGAACCCAGGTTTTTCTCTTGCAAGGCGAGTGCTCTAACCACTGAGCTACATGACTCATACACAATAAATATGAACAGTATTGTTCACTACTGTACTGATTAGAACTAACATTTCTACGAGGAGGGAAGGGGGGAGTTTGGAAGGAGACATTTAAATGTATTATAGAACCCAACACTCAGTAAACATACATTTTTTTTGGATGTAGCACGGGAACTCTGATGTTCCATTCCGTAATAGAGCAAATTGAAATTCTACAGTCAGAGTGAAGGCAAATTCTTGAATTGGACAGTAAGAGTGAAGGCAAATAACTTCCTACTGTGAGGATGGGTACAGTTAAAGGGGCATTCAACAGCCATTGCTCTCACACATCTACAATGTGACTCAGAGCACCATAAAGAAAACCGGTGTGGGAAGTTTCGGGATTTGAGTTTTACAGTATTTGTTCCCTAATGTTTTTGACATAATAGAATCGAAAATTATATTTTAGTACATTTGTATACATCTCCAGTATGTAAAATGACCATGGCTTTTTGGGAAGAAGGGTGTCAATTCCTCACTGTCAAATTAAGTACAAACATGTGTACAAGCATCAATCAGCTTATTATTATTATTATTATTATTATATACGTCCTTGTGTTTCAGTAGAATTGCAAGAATGCAAAGATACAATTACGTAAATAGCCAAAGATTCCAATACACAATTTCTGCTAAATGCATAACTGGTTTGCAAGATTTTGAGACCAAAGCTGAGCTGAGCACCTCAGCAAATTTATGAAACAGTTTTTTTTAAAAAAAACCATGGTGCCTAGTTTCCAACAGTGCACTCCACAAAACAACGACAGTACTAATACAATTTTTTCCCAAAAAAATCTGCTTGAAAATCTATCCTAAATTGAGATACAAATGCTTCAACAATTCAATAGCAGCCTTTCTTTTGTTAAGAAATTCAACATATCCAACCAAACACTGAATACAAATAAAACATAAAACAATCAATTAATTGTGAATTGCATATTTTCAATTCCAATTATACCTAATAACCCCCTTTTTCCACATGAATGGTCCTTCATCTGAAACCAGTCCGTGCCGTTTGATATTTAACCCGCCTACATTCGTTTGTTTAATCTACTGCAATGTTAAAACGCTTATTCTCCAGATACTTTCACCACCAAATTCTTTCTTTATTGGCAGTTTTTAAAACACCACCTTGAAAAACTAGGATTAAAATATATCCATTGAAAACTAGTGGCTGCAGAGATGATAGATCGGACGGTAAGAATCGCTATATCTTTACACTTCCGAGATGTTTGTCTCAGTCCCTTGATGTGACTGATGCCTCTGCAGCCCCGCATCGCATTCATTTCTTGGCCTCTCCAGCACAGTGGGGGATGGGAAAGAGCAAACGAGACCCCTTTAGCTACTTACAGCTCTCGTTTTGTTCTTAATAAGACTGCCAAGGCCCCTCGTTTTTGAATACTGCAGTTTCCACAACTTTCCTGCATCAGATTTCGCAATAATAATCAAATGTACGGAAGATCCCGCGTGTATCACGTTGCAAACAAATCTCACCTAAACTTGATCTAGAAATGATTGGCATAAAATCCCAGCACGATTCAAAACACCCAATGCACATTTGCATGAACCTATTCTCCCACACTGCAATTGAAACCGATCTTAGCTTTTGGACCCACCTGGAAAAATCTACCTTCTTCTTCGGAGGGCATCTGAGATCATTAAAGCTCAACCACCATCACGATATTAACAACAGGAAAAGACTTAAACACTTTCTTTGTTATTTTCAATCTCTCGCACACTCACACTCTCACACATTACATACTCCGGCCCCTCTTGAAAGGTCTCAATAGCGCCCCCTGTCTCAACATTCGTACTGCAAAGAGTTCAAACAACACCCAGTTCCACCCCTCTGAGAGGCAGAGAAAATCCTTTGGCCTAAACTCCGAGTCTAATTCTCCTCAGACATTTAGCACCCTGTATGGATTTTAAAAAAAGCATTGTGGCTTGGTACTTCACTGATGGCTTTTTCTGCTCAGCATATCAAAGGCAATGCATTTTGTGAATTCCTGCGATACAAATTTACTGACATCCTGTCTTTGTATGGCTATATTTCACAAAATTATTATACTAATTCAAACTAAACAAACACTAGTTTACCTACAAGTCAACAATAGCACTAAATCGTTTTAGTCTCAATATATCATTACAATGCTACTGCTGTGGAAGGAAAAATAATAATAATTTACTAGTCGATCCATGACTGTTTGTGGGACACTGCTGTGCGCAATTGGCTGCTGTGTTTTGCCCACAAAATATACAGTCAATTCACTTTACTGTATGTTCTGAGAAGTGCTTTGAGACGTCTCAATTACGTGATAAGGCACTATATCAGATACAAGGATTATTATTATTATTAAGGCATTTCACTATGCCTTGCAAAAACATTATGCTGCACGCCAGGTGCAATGTATTAACACTTTCAGGTATTAACAGATTTTATGCACAAAACTATTATTCTAAATTCAATTTAGCAATGTGAATTATAAAACTTCAATCAGCCTACACCCTTGCACTAATACTGCTTGATATAAAGCGTTATACAATTATTTTCAGAGTATTTTCTTATAGCTGCAAAGAACATTAGCAATCAAAGGAGGTCACAGGAAAACAATTGACTTTTTTTGAAGAACTCAGGCTGTCTAAAAACGCTTGGCTCTGGTTAACTATTACAGTCACAATACCTAAGAAAATATATACTATTCCGCATCTAGCTACCAGACTAGAACAAAATTTACCTAGCTTGACATTCATATCTGCTTTACACGTTTCACCCTCGGTACATATTGCCAGAGCACATTTTATCCTACTTGCTATCACATGACTACTCCATTCAGAATTAGCCACCATACAAATATTGGACCTCATTCAAAATAAGCTACAATACAAAAGCATCTGTATTACACGCTACAAATACATGTGAATATCTTATCCTACCTTGCAGGGCCTTCCTTACTCTTTGAAAAAACCCGTCCACACACTGTGCAGGGGACTCTGACACCATCAGGTATAATAATAATACTTGCATTTGATATAACGCTTTATCACATCGTTGAGATGTCGCAAAGTGTTTCACAGAATATATTGTAGTCAACTAACTGTGTATTTTAGGTGCGAAACATGGCTGCCAATTGCGCATAGCTGTGTCCCACAAACATTCACAGATTGAGCGAACAATTTTTTATTTTATTTTTTTGAAAGGATTATTACCCCTGGAAATGATCCGCCAATCGACTAACAACCGCATTCCTACTTACTGCTATGTAAGGTAAACAGAGGCGTGTGGAGTAAGGAAACTTGCCTACAGTACGTTTTGCTGGAAGAGGGTAAGTGGGGGAATTAACCAAAGGAGTATTGTCTTAAAGCTTCATGACATTGGGATACCATTCTATGCAATTGCTTTCATCCTGCACCCTAAAAACATTACCCTGGCAACATGTGCTAGTTCATTTTCCTCACTACCAAAGATCAACATTCTGCTATACTCCAAGCCATCTCATGTGGATATCGATTCTTCAATGTCTCTTTGCCATTTTATTTTGTCCTACTTTTGACCCCTGTTCCACAACAGGTTTTAGGCCATTTTTATTTTTCCGACAAGTACTTTCTGCATTGGGCAAGAGTCCCTACATCCACTCCGAATCTATCACTTATCGCAATAAGCAATCAATTTGTCTCTAACGGAGTCAGCAGGACCATGTGACGGGTGAATATGAGAAAGAATATACCTTTGCATTTGATGTTTGGGTAATTCAAATTACTGACACGCATATGCATATTTAAACCCATAATTTAATCACACATTTTGATGGCTTATTCTGTAATAAGTTTAAAATTCAATACAAGAACAAAATTCTAGACACTGACATTCGTGTTACCACCCTCCTGCCTTTCCTAGGAATATGCTTTAAAATAATTACTGAAAAGGCCATATTTAAAAGAACGAGGGTTGCATGACAATAGCTTGTCATTCTTTTGTCATTCTAAATTAATCTCTGGTAGACAAAAAGATAACATACACCAGAAGTTCAGAGGTCAACCAAGGTCAATATTTTCACTACAGGCTTCACCACTTCAAAAAGCATTTCAAACTTCAATTTCATCAAGTCAAACCCCAAAATATTTACATATATTAAACAACTACAATATAGTTACTTCGCAATTGGCAAACCTGACTAATCATAGACAACGTATGCAAGATCAATAATTTCTGAAATGTCAATCCCGACAACACTAAAATAAAGCACGCCTTAAGGACATCAAAATTTTTTTGCAAAGTACATCTTGAAATTAGCATTGATGACCTATGTTTACAGTTTCTAAGATCATACTGCACAGATGATGGCAGTAATATGCAGCCAATACTTACAGGATAAACAAAGAGATTTGAGCCATAAGAAATAGGATAGAACACATCCATCAAACAACGAAAAAATTGTCAAAGAATACCAAAATCGATAGTTCATCTGACAATAACATAAGGGCCAGCAAACAAACGCCAAGTACTGCAGTACATCCTCGAATGCAGTCATTGGAGCTAATTCGTTTAAGTAATGCTTTTGTTACTATTTGACCTCAAAAAATAAAGTTGAGCAAAGTTTATTTCTGCCAAAAGAAAACACTAGTTTCTTTGAAGTCACTAACTAGTTCAGCTTCGACAAAAAACAATCTTCACATAATATCTGTCACTCCCCAGCACTTCCGATAAGGTCGAACTATCTTCAGGACAACGTTATTCATAAGTGGTTTTTTTAATTATGCTTAAAAAAAGGCCATCTGACCCACTGGGAATCCACTCTACACCTGAGGACGGTGGGGGGGGAATTATTGCATTTATTCGTGCAAAGCCAACCCCACAGCCAAGTTTACACAGACAGTTAAAGTAAAGTTCAAGACGAGCAGCACAACTCCTGAGATTGCCCTCGAGTGGCTAACAACGAGAGGGAAAGACATGAAACACTGACACACACACACACACACTGCCTTCCTCCTGCGCCCCCGACCCCCGAAGCCTTTGATCCCCCGAGTGCTGGAGAGGGACCCGAGAGTCCGGCCCCGACCCTTTGGTTTCACCCCCGTCCCGTCCCGTCCCGTCCCTTCCCTCGTCCCCCTCTCCCCTCACCGACGTGCACTCTACGGTAAGGCGAAGCCGGCGGCTGACGGTCTCTCTCGGTGGGCAGTTACCTGGAGGACACGGCCACACGGCTCCTCACACCCGCGCGGTGACGGGCAGCAGCGGCAGCAACTCCTTCCCGCAGCCCAATCTGTTGGAAAGTTTGTTCCACGAGGAGGCTCCGCGGTGACGGTCGGGAAGAAACGGCGGCGGCGGCGGCCGCCTCCGCCCGGGATTTTCCATCAGTATCACTGTGATGATTATTTTTCTTTTTATAAAAAAAATAATCTACATCGACAGATAAGGCAGAGAGCCTGAGCCAGAGAGCCAGAGAGCCAGTGCCAGGCGGACACGGAGCCCTCCCCGAGAGAGAGAGAGAGAGAGAAAAAAACCTTATCCTTTCTTCAAAAAAATATAAATCCTCGTCGTCGCCAACAGCTCCGTTCCGAGCGGTCCCCCCCCCCCCGCACCCCCACCCCCCGCCCGCACCCCCTTTGGGTTTTTCTCTTATAAAATAAAAACCCCAAAAAATTCAAAACATTATTATCTTTTTTGAGGGGGAAACCCTTCCCTCAAGAGGGGCCGGGGATGGGGATGGGATGGGGGGGGGGGTTACTGAGGTATTTAATCGAGGAGGAGGGGGGGGTCTCTCCGGAGCCTTGGGTTGCTCGGGGCCGCGTGAAGAGGAGAACGGACGAGAACGAAAGGCTCCTCCGCCCGATCGCGCCGCGCGCTTCCTCACTCGCTGCGGCTCGGCTCGCGCCCTCTCTCTCTCTCTCTCTCTCACTCACTCAGCCGCCCGCTCGCGACTAAACCGCCTCCAACGTTCAACTGGCAGCTCCCGCACCGCGCGCCACATCAAAACACGCCGCCGCCGCCGCAGGTCCTCCCAGACCACAGCGCACCTCCACCACACACACACACAGACTGCCCTTCCCCTCAGCCCTCCTCTCACCGCCTCTCCCACATTCCCACACACGTTACAAAAATATACGTTAAAAAGGGGGGAAAAAAATACGCGTTTGAATATATATGTGTTTATCTCCAGAGAAATGATAAGTACGTCGATAGGAGTCGAAAGTCAGGGATTTTTTTTCTTTAAAAAAAAGGGGGGGAAAAAAACCCAGAAAACCCTTTTTCATCCCAAACCCCTCTATGTACCGGGACGGACCTGATCAAAGCACAATTCCCGACTGAAAGCATTCGGCGGGCGACCCATTACCTCATCCACGCCCTGCGGTTCCCAGGCCGCTGATTGGAGGACGACTCGGCGCGGCGCCGCGGCGGACGCTGGGAAGTGAAGTTCTGACGCGTTCCTTTTTTTGTCGCAGGAGGCGGGGCTCCGAGGAGAGCGAGGGGACGGGGAGGGCGACTACAAGTCCCAGAAGGCATCGCGAAGCCACGCACGGGGCGCGTTCGCGCAGAGTTCCCATTTGTCTCAGTTGTTTGGTCCCCACGTGCCCTCCGGATAAACAGTAACACTCCCATATCTTTTATTCCCCCGCGCTCCCGGGAGGGAACCCGCGGACCTTTTGCCAGTTACCAGTTATTTTATTATTATTATTATTACTGACAGTTGTGGTTTTGCTGAGAATGATTTGAGTGATCGCTCCGCCCATTGGTCCAACACCGTATACTGTGCTGCACAGCATTGATGCTCATAAGGTTTGGGCCTCTGATACAGTGACTACTGTGCTCCCGGGTACTGTGCTCCGATCCTCTGGAATTCCCTG